AATACTATAACAATAAATTCTTAAATATTTTATTAATTATTTTATTTTATTTTATTTCTTAGCGTCAATTTTGATCAACGATAATCTCGTTTTTTYTTTTTTTTTTTTTTTATCATATTTTATATTATCAACAACTTATATTAATTTTTGAACTAACTTAAAAGAATAGTTTTTAGTTTTTTTTTTTTTTTTAATTTATATCGAATAAAGTATAACTTTAAATATTCTTATAATTAATAAATGATAAATAATATACTTCGCACGTAGTTTTATTAGTTTTTATATAAATTTAAAACAATTAACTATGTTTCTCCTATTTTGTATTAATTCAAATAAAAAATAATTTGTAACGTTATTATAAAATAGAAAAATTTGAATTAAAAGTAAATCAAGCAACAATTTATTTAACAATTATTTGATCGAGGTAAAATTTGAACGTTTAAAATATCTAACAAATGTTTATTAATTAATTCGACAACAACAGTGTAAGTCACAAGAACACAAGAACGTTGTTTTAAAACGGGCAGTTAATTAAAAATAAAATAAACGAAAGAAAGAATGAAAGAAATAAATAAAGAAAGAAAGAAAAAAGTGTTGAATGTTTGTATTAATTATTAGATTTATTAATTCATTCCCAAAATCAATTGAGAGTTTCATCTAAAACAAATTTCTGACAAACAACAACCGCCATGCTGTTAGGTACCCATTTATCAACCTGTATTGCTCTAACCATCTTCCGCGTACGTGCTAAATGTCTTCGTCCACTCGTAAATCTTGCTCTCGCCGGTTTTCTTTCTTCGTCAACTCAACGTACGACTTCTTTTTCGGCCATTCTCACAGTCTTTCATCTTCCAAGAAATACCACAGCTGTACCCTTCTCCTTCTCCTACTCCTTCAACATTATTTTTTTTCTTCTTTATTTTTTTCTTTTTTTTTTTTTTTGCAACGCACGTACATACTTTTACTTACGAGCACAGTATAAAAAAAAAAAAAAAACAAATACTACGAAGAGATATAATATTTTTTTTAATTTAATTACTTATCTTTCATATTTCCAATTTACACACACACACAGCATGTTTTGCATCTTAAAGAAACAAAAATCTGACATATTTATTTACTTACATTTAATTCACAATGATCGATTAGGAAGATTTCAAAGTGTAAATCATCTGATACAAGAGTTTGCTAAAATCTTTCATAAATCAAGTCTAATGGTCATATATCATGAAATCTTTTGTGAACGTATATTTCATCTCGATCGCGTGTTTAAGAAATCGGACAAGCAACACCATGTAAATGTGTCACTATCTTCAATAAGACAATATCTTTGGATTATTACTCCAGTTGGAAAAGGGAATATAAGACTATGATAAAAAATTTTTTTTGTATCTCTCTCATCCCCTGTATTTTACCCCAATCATACAAATTATACCGAAAAAATTTTCGTAAAAAAGAAAAAGAAGAAGGCTAAAAGGTGTAGAACAAATAAGGAACATCTATTTGGTTGGCACGTCGTCTAAGGGCCAGTTTGACTAATAAGAGATCAAACAGAATAAAAAAAACAACAAATGAGAAAATACAACAGTTAAGATTCCTAAAAATAAATATCAGTAAAATTATGATTTTTTGTTTTTTTTTCTTTTAGTTGTTTCCTTTTATTATATTTGATGAGAATAGAAAAAAACAACATGGAGAATAATACTTGTTAGTAACTTGTTTTGTCGTTAATAGTCTAACAACAGTTTGATTATTTGACTGCAACTAATTATGCATTACAATATTTTATATCGTTGAAATATGTTTTTACTTTGAACGGAAATCCTAGGTAGATCTTTGCACCAGGATGATAATCGTACACAAACGTTCCTCGGTATAAACTGTTTGCCGAACTCTTTGGTACATTTCAGAGACGTATAATGTTGACAGTAAGATGTCACGCGTTCATCAAACAATCCCGTATGTTTTAGAAACACGTTTTGTAATTCTAGACGAACGTCTCTAACGTGAATAGAAGGGCGGAGCCGGTGAAAGTGGTAATTGAGTACAAGCACGTAGGGGACTTTGCCAAGCAATTAAGATACGCGATTACAATATGTTCAATTTTTATTATCACTACGATAAATCTTGAAGGAAGTACCAAACTGTCATATTCCAACTCAAAATTGTGCTATTTTTTACTTATCTTTTTTATTTTTTATTTTTTTATTTTTTTTTATCCTTACAACTTCTTCGTTCACACTTTCTTCGCGAATGGTTTGCTTTTAAATAAAAAAAATAAAAAAAATATATATATAAATAAAAATCCCACGTGTTTTTATTACAGCACCAAAACCTAATGGCAGGCGTTCAAGAAAACCGGGAATCGATAGAAAACCAAGACAAGCTTACAGTGCTAAACAATTGGAAAGATTAGAAGCAGAATTTAAGGTACGTTTTTTTTTTTTTTTTTAATAATTAATTCATTTAATAATTTGTCATTCTGATATCATTTACAGATCGACAAATATTTAAGTGTGAGCAAACGAATGGAATTGTCAAAATCATTAAATTTGACCGAGGTACAAATCAAAACTTGGTTTCAAAATCGTCGCACAAAATGGAAGAAACAATTGACGTCTCGACTGAAGATAGCACAGAGACAAGGATTATTTCCACCAACATATTTTCCACCAAATCAGTACCCTTTGTTACCCTATTACGCTGCACCCTTAATGTTTGCGAACCCTTCGCTGGATGATACCAACAGCAACGTTACAACGATACAACAGCGTCCTGTATTACCATCGTCCGATACTGTTTGAACAAAATTCATTGACTTCTTCTTCAAAAATGTCCTTTATTTTTTTTATATTTTCATTTTAATTTTATTAGCTTTCATTACAAATCGTTATTTTATTATTTTTTTTTTAGACTCATCGTCATCTTTGTGATCAAGATTTATAATTAAGATAATAATTGAACACTCGCGAAGAACCAGTGTTTTTCAACTTGTACATAAATCCTTTATGGTAATAAACATATATATATATGTAGATATACGTTTACGATAGAAAAATGTATAGATAAAATTTGTTCTTTTTATTTTTTGAGATATAAATTATCGTAATATAATATTTGATACACGTTTATAAGAATTCATTCAAATCGAGTGAAGAAACATCGAGAAACGTCTCGAAGATACTTTTCCAAGATAGTTTCTATATTTACCATTCTAAAGAGAAAAGCTCAAAGGATTATTGCTTACCTCCGAGCAATTTAAGCTATATCAAATACCTCAGATCCTAGATCCTATCACTGAGCTCAGAAACTAATTGAAACACACCGGAGTGACATTATTTATTTGATTTAAACTTTACTAAACCGTAATTCATATTTTTCAGGTTGACCCACTGAACAAAATACGATTGGATTAAAAACTTTTACAAAGGATTTGTCGATAAAAGAATTAAACGTAATCCGTGGTATTATTTTTTAATGATAAAATTTTCAATGACAGATCAAATTATTATATTTAATTATTTTCTTCAGGTTTTTCTAATTTTTTTTTNTTTTTTTAAAGGTATCTTGATTACTGTATCTTATAAAGTAATTATTTTTTTCTGATAAGAAACAAAATTATTAATACGAATTAAACCGCTTTGTCCTTGCAACAAGGCTCACGCTTTTCATTTTCGTTTGGTTTGCTGGATTTTAACGATTCCTCAGTAACACAACCAACCGTACGTTTTACAGGACAAACCGTATGTTTAGCTTTTGGAAAAAGTCGAAATTTTTTACTTTTTTTCGTTTTCTTTGGCTTAGGTGGTTTAGGTGGCTTAGGTGGCTTAGGTGGCTTAGGTGGTTTAGGTGGTTTACATGGTTTAGCTGTGTCAACTTTTGCATAAGACGTACACGTATCTTTAACTTTAATTCGTATTGATGATTTGATCGTTCTAACGTGAACAGGTAATTTGATCGGACTGCAACTTCTATCGAGTGTTTCCGTTTCGTTTGCGTCAATACTTTTATCAGAACAAATTGGTCTAGGACCGATAGCTGCTGCAATGGCTAATGAATTTTCGGTACATAGGAAACAACAACTTTTTGTTATATCTCTCATTGATATTTCACGATTGTTGCTAATTTCGCTTTGAGAATTATTTCTATCATCGCTAGCGTAAGAAACTGATTTTTCTAAACGCGACGAATCTCTCGATTTACGTAATTTTTCTGCTTTTTTTTGAGCTTTCAATTGTTTTCGTTCCTCGGCAGAAGATATTTTCGATTCCAAATAATTACCCATTTGAAGTCCTTTCTCTTTCTTCCTTGACGTAACAGATTTGCTTTCCTTCAAAATAGAATTCGCATTTTCTTCCTTCGAATTTGTCCTCTTTGTTTTTTTCCATAATTTTTTGGCACGTTTATCTTTAAAATCTGTTGACATTTTAGATTTTTCCTTCGTCGTATTATCTTTTATATCATCTTCTTCTTGTTGCATTGTCTTTTTATCTTTTATTTCATCTTCTTCTTTTTGCGTTGTTTTTTTATTCTTCTTCTTCTTCTTCTTCTTTTCCTTCTTCTTTTTCATTCTTCCGCAAATTTTTCCACACCATAATTGAATCTTTTCACGTTTCGTCTTTTTTTTAACTTCACCAGCGTCTTTTTCCACTTTTTGCGTGTCAATGCTCTTTTTCTCTTCCTTCGGTTTGGCTTGTCTTGGATTTTTGGATCCGTCCAAATTTAAAGACTCTATTTGAAAATAGCATGGGTTTGACGTAGGAATTAAAATTCATGTTTCAAATTATTAAAAACCCACCTGTTTTATTCATTATCAGATATCCATATTTAAGGTTAACTGAGGATACATGTTAATTGTAGAAGTTAAATATAAACGATAAGAAGCTGTGTGTTTGGCTTTAATAAAAAATTCATTCGTTTCTCGCGTCACGATAAAATAAACGTTATTATGGTACTTTTTTTTTTTATAGTATCATTAATTCATCTACAGATGACACTTTTAAATATAATTATTTTTCATCGTTACTTACATGATACCAAAATTTACCTATTAAAATGAATATTTTTATCCGATAGATCTTTTAATCGAAATACATAGTTGTAATTGATTTATTTAATATATCCTCATAGTATCCAAATATCCGATGAGTTTTAATTAAGTAATCTAATAGGTTTGAAGTAATTTAATAATTTCTAGTAATGAGATTATCGATTTTGGTAATCCAATAATAGTCAAGTCATTTGAGTGGGATTTGAGTAACCAGAGTTTACAAATTGGCCAATTATTCCAAGTTATCGGATAACTTTGAACAAGAATCGACTTACATGCATCTTCAAATTACAAACAAAAGCGTACTATATTATGTAAACGATACAAAACAAATTTTTCCAAAGCTTTTACTATTTTCAACACAATAATATAATCTTCAAACGAATAATTTCAATGAAAATAATGAATTGGAAAAGCGATATTCAATCGAAACGTCAAACTTGAATTCGTTTTACGCGGGTTGCGGGCATGTTGGTACAAATTTTCGCCACAAGAGGATGCTACGAGCAGGTGTCAGTGACTCCTCCTATCGACACGAGCCGTAAATAGAAATCAAGATGGCCGCGACCTAGTGGGAGCCAGTTGCATCTGAACGTTTGGAGAAGGAGGGTGAGAGAGGGTAGAATAAAATAATATTGGCAGGGAAGTCGTGGTTGAAACAGTGGTAGGACTGTCAGCAGTACGTCGACAGTGGCGACTGTGACTCGAGAAAGGAAAAAGAAAGAGAGAAGATAAAGAAAGAAAGAAAGAAAGAAAAGAAGAAGGAGAGAGAGAAATAGAAAGAGAGAGAGAGAGAGAGTGAGTGCAAGAGAGAAGGGTGTGCGTGTGTCGAATTTATCTGGTGCGATGCGTTTGCCAAAATTCGAGTCGACCTTTCGAACGTGTGCGTGAAAGAGTGAGTAAGAGAGAAGGAGAAAGAGAGAGAGAGAGAGAAGACCTTGTGCGCGTGCGAAAGAAAGAGAGAGAGAGAGAGAGAGAGAAGAAGAAATATACAGTGTATATGAGTGAGATAGGTTGATAGTTGTGTGTTGTCTTGAGAATCAAGCGAACCTGTGTGTGCATCACTAAGCTACACAAGAAAGAAAGAAAGAAAGAAAGAAAGACATTAAAGGATAGAAAGAGAGAAGAATATAAATAGAAGAAAGAGATAATAAATAAAAATATATAATTGGGAAAATAAAAGGGCGGAACGTTGTTGCAGTTGCAGTTGTGTCGCGTTGTCGAGCGACACGCGAGTGTCTCTGATTCTTTGTGCTTTGTGTCGTCATAGTCGTTCTCTCTCTCTCTCTCTCTCTTCTCTTCTCTTTTCTTCTCTTCTCTCTGGCATCGCGTCTATCGCGAGGAAGCTGGAAACACGATGGCGTATGTAGTGTTCATCCGTTAGAGAGTTAGTAGAGGGACATTACGAACGAACCCTTAATGGGAAGAAATATTTTCGATGAGATAGAAGAGAAAGGGGAAGACAAATAAAAGAGGGAGACATAAAGTTTTTTTTTGGGGATAATAAGTTGTGGTGTAATAACGAGAAGAAGAAGAATAAATAATAATAATAATAATAATAATAATAATAGTTTTAGGAAATTTGAAAGAAGTCAAGAAGAATAAGAACTAAGGACTACTACTACTGGCTGAGAGATTTAAAAAATCGAAGAAAACATTCAGGAGTACAGTATTTCTTATCTCTGGTGGTGGTAGAGTGGTGATAGATAGTGGTGGTGTGATAGTGGTGGTGGTAGTGATGATGTTGGTGTTGTATAGCAACTAAGATTTCTGCTGGTTGTACATGGAATGATAATAAGAATCGATTGAACAACAATAACAACAACAACAACAACAACAACAACAACTATGGATTATCAATCAAAATAATCAAGAAAATTTCTTTTTTAAATATCTCTTCTTCTTCTTCTTCTTCTTCTTCTTCTTGTTTGAGTGTAGTTTTACTTCTCGATGTGTTTTATTTGTGTGTTTTACTACCGTTGTTCATTCAATAATAATAGTTTACACTTGTGAGAATTTAACAATGGTGCGTTGAAAGTTTTATTATAGAACAATTCTTATCTCGTCATTTAACGCGTCATGTCAATCCTATTCGTCATCCTACTTGTCAAAGTTTTTCATATCTCGGTCAATGATTTCATTCTTGTTAAATTCCATTATTTATAGCGTTGTTTTTTCTCGAATTTTATCTATCTTTATATATATATATATATATCTTTCTCTTTCTCTCTCGCACACTTCCTTCCTGTTTTTCTGTCTCCCTCTTCTTGTGGATTTAAAAGAATTATATTGTTCCTAACCTCACTTCTGCCAGCACAGTCGTATCACAACGTTATCGTCATCCTCATCGTTTAAGTTCAACGTCAACGACCTTGCCTTTGAGTGTATGTGTATATATGTGTCTCTTTTTCCTTTTCTTTCTTTCTTTCTCTCACTCTCTCACTCATTCTTTTTCCCTCCATCACCTCCACTCCTCCTCCCTCCCTCTCTGATACTCTGTTCTTTTTCCCCCTTTTTTTTATTGTATTATTGTTGTTTTTATCATTCTCTCATCGATCACAAAGTTTTCTCCTTCAAAAAAGTATTTCACGTAAGAAGAGATAATCGACGAGTTAAAGGAGGTGTAGATGTAGGAGAAGGAGGAGGAGGTGGAAAAGGAGGAAGTGTGTGTGTGTGTGTGTGTGTGCGTGTATGTGTGTATGAAGGAGGTGAAAGAGTTTGATATATTTTTTGTTATATTTTTCTAGTTTGTTCTAACGTGATTTTGTTTCTTTCTCTTTCCAAGGACTTTGTTGAAGGAATAAAGAAAAAGAAAGAAAGATAGATAGGATAGGATAGAATAGCATAGATAGTGAAAGATTGTTTATAAAAAACAGAATAAGAAAAAAAAAAAGAAGAATAATTATAGTTACGATGATCAGTGATACGTGCGGATACGTCCTCTTCCTACTACTGCTGTTGCTGGTTCCATACATCGAAAGTGGTAAGTCCATGTAACCTTTTTACTCATACATACCTACTATATACGTATATTATATTATATAAATGATGTGTGTATATATATACATATTTATATGTATATATTGGGTTGTTCGGAAAGCGTGTCGAATTTATACATGTAATATTATTCTCAAATTTTGTACGAATCTCTTTTTATTTCGAAGTTAATCAAAATTCTATTAGGTTTCTCCAAAGGTCTATTTAAAAAAAAAAGAAACAAAGAAATTAAATTTTTTTAATAATAAATAATTGAACAAATTATTAATATTTTTAATATTCCAATTGTAAAATATATTTATTTTATAATTTTCTAAATTTATATTATATTATATATATATATATATATATATATATATATATATATATATATATATATATATATATATATATATATATATANATATAACAATATAATATTATATATATTATATAATATATATAATAATATAATAAATATAATATATATAATAATATAATAAATATAACAATATAATATTAATATATAACAATATAACAATTAACATATAACAATAATATATAACAATATAATATTTTAGTTTTATAAATTTTATTATACAATTTTTCCAACCAACATATTTTAATTTTAACACATGTTTCTATGGGATAAATTCAGTACATATATATATATATATGTATGTGTGTATAGATACGTTTGACTCTCAAGTATCGTTATAGTAGTCGCGACGTCCGGTAAAATGGTGTTTGTATGCGTGCATCGACACGAATAAGAGGAAAAAAGGATAGAAATATGTGTATGTGTTTGATATGTTGGTATAGGTAGGTAGCAGCTGTTAGTGTGTTGAAACTCTCTCTCTCTCTCTTTCTCTCTCTCTCTCTTTCTCTCTCTCTCTCTTTATTCGTCTCTGTCTGATTCATTCTCTCTTTCTCCTCTTTTTTTCTTTTTTTGTTCATACCCCATGAATCATCCTTCCACGAAGAGGAGCTCATCGCGTGTTCTTTTTTTCCCCCTTTACCAAACTAACAATACACATACACATATACACAGGCATACGTATACGTGCGTAAACATATATATATATATATATAAACGTGTGCGTATTTTTTGTTATGTGTATAGAAGCAAAGATTCGTTGCTCCTGTTAAAAGATGCACCACAACCCGTGGGAATATATTCTTTAATATACTTGTTTCTTTTTTTATTTTTCTAACTTTGGTATCCATTCTATTTTATTCCCTTATTCAGGTAACACACACACACAACACACAAAACTATATCGACTCGTTAAAATAAACCCTATGGAAGACGTTTTATTTTTATTTTTGTTTAAACACAGTTCATGGGTTAACTTGTAATATGTTTATTATTGGCTTAAAAGATTAAGCCCCACCATTCATAAAAATATTTTTATTATTTACTTTGTTTTTTTATTTATAGAATTATATGTATTTTTAACCGACAAATTTCTACTTTTTTACTTGGTTAGATGATCCCAAAGAATATTCTATTTTTATTTGTTATACAATATTTAAAAATCCACAGACAAATTTTCCTCTTAAAAAAAATTTTAAAACCTTTTCTTTTTTTTTTTTTGTTTTTTAAATATTTTCTTCTTTTATTTCATTTCTATTTTTATTTTGCTTTTCTACAAGTTATAGGTGAAAATATTTCATTCTTTTCCACGAGATCTTTATAGGAATATTTAATTATTTAATTTTAATCGTGAATACTCCTTATAAATATGTTAAATTTATTTTTGTAATCGTTATCTTTAACAATATAAAATTAATGATAAGTCATTTTTCTTTTATAGATGTATCCATTCATCTTATCAAATATTTCTAACTTATCTTTGTGATAACTTATTTATTAGAATTAAACAAGAGCATTGTTTTATCCAAAAAATATCAAATATTTCTTTCTATCAAAATAAAATAACATCAATATTAGATTTCAAATTAACATTATTAAAATATTATTATTAATATTATTAAATTTTATTTAAAGAATTAATAATATTAGAATTATATTATAATATTATTAATTATTATAATTTCATATTACTAGTATTACTAAATATAGTTACTATTTACTAGTATAATTACTAAATATAAAATATAATTACTTAGTATTATTATAATACTAAATAAATATATTACTTATAATATTATAATATTTTTAATAATATTATTAATATTATTAAATATAATAATATTAATAATATTATTAATTATTATATAGTACTTTTGTTATAGTATTATATTACTAGTATTACTAAATATAGTTACTATTTTCTAATATAATTAATAAATATAAAATATAATTATTTCGTATTATTATAATACTAAATAAATATATTACWTATAATATTATAATATTTTTAATATTATTATTAATATTATTAAATTAATAATAATAATATTAATAATATTATAATTATTATATAATACTTTTGTTATAGTATTATATTACTAGTATAATTACACTAGTATAATTACTAAATATAAAATATAATTGCTTAGTATTATTATTATTAAATTAATAATATTAATATAATATAATATTATTATATTAAAATATTCAAATATTAATATCTAATCAAATAGATATGATATATTTTATTTTATCTTAGATCAAAATGATCATATATCAAAAATAATATCTCTCGTGAAATAAATAATAATATAAGTTATAATAAAGATATATTAGTTACTTTAAATTGTATCAAAAAGTCAAGTTAACCGAATGTCAGCAAGAGCCTTCCTGGAACTTTGAATCGTAGGATTAGCATCAGCGGAAATCCCAATCAGTGGCCCTTGACGTGACTGGGTGATAGGTACACACAGTCGAGTACAACGTCATCGAGCTTTCAAATGTATATGTGTGTTCATATATATGTATCTATCCTATGTATATGTATATGACGATAAAGGGAACACTAGTTGGAAGAAGAGGAATAAGTGAGAGGAGTGTGGGAGGTGTATGAGGTGGGTGGTCGACAGTTAGAAAGGAAAGAGGGGAACCGAACACGTTCGAGATCATCCTAACTTCATTCAAGGCAAACAAATCTGTTCGGACTTGATTGTCTTTACTAGAACAGGTCATGTCGATTTTTCATTTATGCAAAGATCATTTTGATTTTGATTTTTAAATTTATTCAATCAAAACTTTTCAACAAGGGTAGAATGAATAATATATATATAAAAAAAATATATATATATAGATATATTAAAATTGATATTCATATTTTTCAATATTTTTTTATATTTATTTTAATTTAGAAAGAAACTTTTTAAAGTTTGATCACACACTTTTAAGTAAAATAGTAAAAATGTAATTCATAGTAATAGTAAAGTAATAGTAAAAATTTCAATTTATATTAAAAAGATAAATTTATAAGCAATATTGTTTTTTTTTTTTTTTTTTTTTTTTGTTCCTCATCTTCCTTTCAATAATAGTTTAATATTATATATAAATATTATATTTTATATAATTTTTTAATACAATAATAATATAATTTNATCACACACTTTTAAGTAAAATAGTAAAAATGTAATTCATAGTAATAGTAAAGTAATAGTAAAAATTTCAATTTATATTAAAAAGATAAATTTATTGGTAAAGTCTTCGTTTTTTTTTTCATATTTTTTTGTTCCTCATCTTCCTTTCAATAATAGTTTAATATTATATATAAATATTATATTTTATATAATTTTTTAATACAATAATAATATAATTTTAATTATAATAATATAATTAATAATTTAATAAATTTATATATAATAAATAAATATATATTATAAATAATATAGTAAATTTAATATAATTAATAATATAATAATTTATATATAATATTTAAATATTATATAATAATATATATATATAATTAAATATAAATATATTTTATAATAAATATATATAAATTATTATATAAACTATTTATAATATAAAAAATATATTATATAATATATTATATATTATATATATTAATGTATAATTATAATTATATATAAAATATATAAAATATATAATTTATTATATATTATATAATGTATACTATATAAAAATTTTATAATACTATAAAAAAAATATTTATATATAATATATTATCTAATAAATATATATAAATTATATATAAATATAAATATATATATAATATTATATATTAAATATTATATTATTATATATAAATATAAATATATAAAGTAATAGAATAACAATTTTGTCATAAAAATCAAATAACGTTGATACTTCTGAAATTGTTTAATTCTTGATTTAACTTGTCTTTTTTTTTTTTTTTTAAATCAGATTCTATGAAAATCTTTTTTTTTTTGTTTTAACTTCTAAGTAAAGCAGAAGAAGAGGAAGAAGCTTTTATAATTGAAATTTACTAGCCTTTATTGGTTCTCATACATTGTCTTATATATTTATCTATTATCTATCCTTTACTTTCCTACAAATAAAGAAGGTAGACGAGAAGAGAATCTTCTTCAGTGTGCTTTTAGCGAAAAGAGCAAGCGGAAGCTCTTTGGTTAATGAAAATATCGTAGGAAGAAGGAAAGGAAAGGTAATGTAAGGAAAGAAAGCCAACGTTGTCTCGTATAGCTAGCAACGTGTCTCCTGTTCAGAAACAAAGAGAAAAATCGTCAATTCTTGAAGGAAGGAAACACATCAGGACGATGAAATGTGTCTATAAAATATAAAGATGAAATTAGGAAGATGATTGAAAAGAAATTGATTGATAAAAATAGGAAAATGTTGTATATTATTGTTGTTATATTTGTTTTACAGTTAACGTTTATTTTATTTTTCAGGATATCAAACAACAGGATAAGTTTTAAGTTGAAATAGATAGTATTAGTTTGAAATTAGTGTAAGTTCTAAAATTAGGATTTGTTGCAAGTGCAATCAGTTTATCCAGGTAGTTTATTTTGAAAAAAATATTATTTCTAATTTATTCTTATCTTAAATTTCTATTATATACATATATAATTATAATTTTA